CCTGCTGCAGTTCTTCCTCTTGATACTGCCTCTCCTGCTGCAGGAGTCTCCTTTCCTTCCGCAGCCGCTCTTCCTCCCGCTGCAGATGCTCTTCCGCCTGCTGCAGTTGCTCTTCCTCCCGCTGCGCCTCGTCTTCCTCGTGACACTGCCTCTCCCGCTGAAGGCTTCTCCTTTCTCTCCGCAGCCGCTCTTCCTGCTGCTTCAGCCGCTCTTCCTCCTGCTGCAGGTCCTCCTCTTGATACTGCCTTTCCTCCTGCAGGTGTCTCCTTTCCTTCTGCAGCCGCTCTTCCTCCTGCTGCAGCCGTTCATCCTCCTGGCGATATCTCCTCCCCCTCTGCTGGCGCTGCTGCTCCACTTCTTGCAGCAGCCGCTCCTCACGTAGCTCTTCCTCCCTCTGCTGCCTCTGGCTGGGTTTGGTGTACAAGGTGTGGCGCCTCTGGCTTTCTTCCCGCAGTTGCCCGCTCCTGTTTTGGTCGCGGCGCTCCACCTGACGACGCCTCAGGCGTTCCTCTAGGAGGCTGTCCTGGAGCTGGGCTCGCTGCAGCTCATCCTCCCGGAAGCGCTGCTCCTCCCGCTTGCGGAACTGCTGCTCTTGCTCCAGGTGCTCCTCCTCAGCGGGACGCTGCGGGCGGAGGTCGCGGCGCTGCTCCTGCTCCCCGAGCTGACGCCTTTCCGGCTCCTGTCTGCGAGGCCTGGAGTAGACTTTGTTCTGACGGGCTTCTGCCTCGCTTTCGAGCTGCCGCTGCCACCTCTGTGTGAAGCTCTCGTCGGGCTCCTGGAGCTGCGTCTGCTCGTCCTCCTCGGGCACCAACTCCTGCGTGCGCCTCAACTGGGGTTCGCGCCTCCGCTGGGGTTCGCTTAGCTCTCTTCGCCCGCGCTCCTGCAGCCGTCTCTCTTCCGTGTGGTCCTCGCTCCTGAGTTCTTTCCTCTCTCGCCTCTGCTGTTCCTCTTCCTCAGAAAACTCCTCAGCATCAGGACCCTGGCTCCAGCTTAGCGGCTCTTTCTCTGCAAGGCGCTCCTCCAGTTCTTGCAGTTCTCGTCTTTGCAGTCGGGGCTCTTCGTCGCAGCGCTGCTCCAGTCTCTCCTGCCTCTTCCTCAGCTCCTCAGCACGCTCCTCCTGCTCATGTCTCTTCTGCCGGCTTCGGCGCCCTGGTTCTTCATCCTGGAGCTCGAATCTCCTTTGGTCTTCTTGCCTGCGATCTTGTGACAGGTTCCTCTTTTCCCTAGGCAGGGCTGTCTTCTCATCCTGCCTTGCAGCCTGGTCAAGAGCATAATAGCAAGCTTGAGCAATCTTGAAAAGGAACAGGAGGAATTCATTGAAATCAACACGCCCATTGGAGTCGCGATCCAGAAGTTCTAGGGTCAGGTCTACCGTCTCGGGGTCATGTGGTCTCTGAAAGATTAAAACAAACGTTTTATAATTAATTATTTACATGTAGTAAGCTTTTACTCTCACACCTATTTTATATTGTGTTGATATTAGGAGATATTTAGAGCAATTAGAAAATGCATAGTGTATGTATGTTGTCTTGTTTTCCCATATGATATGTGAACGACTCATTTCAAAGCATACCCTTCTTGGAAATTTTTGTAATTGTGTGCTGATCAAAACAACAGATTCTTTCTAGATGGCAGAATGAGAATAAATTTCTCCTTGTGATCGATAAAATGAAATTTTATGAAGATTTCCGACAGATATTTCTATTGAAAAAGCCAGTACTCCTGATTTAATTTCTATTTCATGTTTGAAGAAGAACTAAGATATTTACAGCAACACTATTTTAGTCAAGAAACGGGCAGATTTCAGTTGCTGAAAGTTGGGAGCAAAAAAAAAAAAGTCCCTTCAAGTCTATTAACTTGACTAGGCATCATTAGTGGTAATGCCCTATTAATTAACATTCCCATTAACAGTACCACCAAGTCTATTAAATACATGCTATTAACTTCTTTAGTACTCAGATTACAACACCAATTTAAATACCTCAGGCTCAAAAATGAATGAGGATGTGATGGTGACCTGTTATGCTGAAAAATCCATTTTAATCGATATTTTTTACTCTGGTCTTTATTGGGAGGAAAAATGAGAGCTCCACACCCATAGATTTCTTTTTCTTGTCAGATATTACCTGAAGGACAGTTCCGAGTTCCCTTTCAAGGAGGTTCTTCAGGTCTTTCTTGCTTAGTGATGCTCCATCACAACTATGTGAGGCATAATGATTGAAAACTTCAGCGATATCAATAACGCTTCTTAAAAGTGGAGACATTTTTTTCTTTCCTTCAAATTCAAGTAAACCTAGAACAATAAGATAGGATTCAGAAGCAAATCTGGGCTTCCGATTTTAGGGAAACTTGACTTACACCAATTCAGACAGATCTTTAGACTTGCTATTAGTAGTTATTGCAACTTGCATTTTCAGAGCACTTTATCCCTGACTACTATATTCTGAAAGAGGAAGAGAAATATTGAAAAATTCAAAGCCAAGAAAACCACCTTCAAACTGAAAAGTCAGCTTTTCATTGTCCATCGATGTGGACTATCCATACACTCCTCTCTTTTTTTTTGTTTCAGCATATTTCAGAATAGATAATGAGGAGACAAGAATAAGAATTTAAATTCTACATATTGCTACTCACAACAACCCCTAAAGTTGAGCAAAAAGGATAGGTTTTAAAAAAAAAAGCCAAGATGTGAAAGAAGACTTGAGCATTTTTAAAAGTAAATGGAGCTATGTGTAGACAATTGTGTCTGCAAAAACATAGCAACAAACAGAACAGTGAAAAGGAAATGTAAATCATTCCTTAAATGTATAGCCCATAAGGGACTAATTCATGTCACCAATTCTAAGATCAAAGAGTGCTTCCTCATCAAAATAAAAAATTGTAACATTTAGATACAGCAAGGCAGAAAAACAGACTGCATGTTATCTGTCTTAACTCCAATATACTATGGCTGTTCATATCTTCTATTACTGGAATTATTTGAGAAATCCTGATTGGTGAATCAGAGTCAATAGGTCAGACAAGCCTGGAGAACTTTGAATGATATTGGTCTTAAGACTAGCCTTTGTTAAGTGAAGTAAAATCATTTGAATATTGGTGTTATAAAAAGGGGGGGCCTCTGGGAATTTAGCTCAGTGGTAGAGTGACTGTTAGTATATGCAAAATAATGTGTTCAATTTCCAGTATTGCCAAGACAAAGCAAACACACAGCCACAACAAAACCTTATTAAAAGAATACTTGGATGGCTTTGCTGGCTGACTGCATAGTAGGTCACTTAGTTGAGTTCTATATTATCATTTGAATTCCAAAACCTCACATACCAACTCAGATGTGAACTGTATGAAGATGCCTATGTCATACTGAACACATGAAAAAGAGATCAGAGATTTTGCGCACTTTGGGGTTGATCGTTTTTTTCAGAAAGATGAGCCTCATAAGAGGCACACACGGTGTTTTTTGATGTGCCTAAGTATTGAGTTCAGAGCCTTGAGAGAACTACTGCTATTCAAGTGAGGGCTCCAACCATAAAAAGATAAGACAAGCCAAGCATAGTGGCTCGTTCCTTTAATCTTAGCTCCTCAGAGGCAGAGACAGGCCAGTTTCTATGAGTTTGAGACCAGCCTCATCTACATAGTAAAGTCTAGGCTAGACAGGGCTAAACAGTGAGACCTCATCAAAAAAGAGAAGGGGAAGGAGGAGATGGAATAAGTGAGATTTAGCCAACACTGGAAGGTGGAGATCCCTTCTGGAACCTAGAGCCTACCTTCATTCCCCCAACATGTACCATGGCTGGAAAACGAAGAGTACAGAAGAACACCATCCCACAGGATGGGACTTACCCACTTCACCAGAGGAGGAAGGCAAGTGCTCGCAGACACTGCTGGCAAGTGTGCTAGGTCCCTGGGAGTCGGGCCTTTTATAGGGGTTTTAATTGTGCCCCCGGGAGCAACTTAGGAAGGAGACACCCACTCTGTGGGATGACCTGATTCATTCAAATCCCGGCTCCACCTCTGTCTCCAGGAATGGCTTGTTTATCTCACTATTTGCTCACGTAGCTATTTGGACAGGGTTCACAGGACTTGCCTCCTGACTGGGTACTGGCCCCACCTAACACAAAAAGGGAGAATATTTGGCAGATTTTTCTAATCTTTCTTTGTTAAAAACATTAAAACAAAGGTGATGAATATTCTGAATCTTGATTTATTATGACTTCATAAAAAACACAACCTCTAGTCATTTATTATTTTTTAAGATTTAATTTTAAGTGTGTGTGTGTGTGTGTGTGTGCACGTGCACATATGAGTACAGGTACCTATGGAGGCCAGAGGTGTGGGATTCCCCTGAGACTGACCACACAACATGGACACAAGGAACCAAATTCTGCTACTTTGCAAGAGCAGGAAGTGCTCTTAATTGCTGAGCATATTTCTAGCCCCTTAAACCATTTATTTTGTGCAAAATACAAATTCTAGGTTGACATTAAACAGGAGCTTTATCATAAACTGAAGAGAACCAGCTAACTTCTGTATGGCATGTAGCAGACCATAAAGAGATGACCATCAGTCCTGCCTGGAACCTTGAAGATCATGAGAGGGACCGAGTTTCTTTTAAAAAAATTGAGGTGGGAAATTTATTTTACATTTATATTCCTCAGATTTTCCTACAGGCTAGGGGTTGCTTCCTAAGTCAATACATTTGGAGAGTATCTTAAATTATGTGTTTATCAAACTGTTGATGAGAAAGCATATTGTGAAATTTCATTCTTAGAGATATTAAATCTAAATGAAATTTGCTCATTTGTTTTTCTTGCTAGCACACCGAAGCCCCTGGAGAAAAAGAGCTACTGTAATGCATGATTGTAGATATAATCATCTCATTCAGCCTAAGTTACTAATGGTTATGACATCTGAACACTTGAGTTGGCTTCTCCTGGAAGCACATTAAGGTCATTCTAGCCCATTATAGCTGTCAGAGCTTTCTCAACCCTGGTGATCATTTGTGAATCTTGGTGCTATTTTATTGTAAGGCACTGGATTTGCTCCTGGTTGCCAGTGACTCCCACCCTTCCATTTCATACTGCATGAAACTTTGGTTCATAATAGGTTTATGGAGACTATTAAATGATTCAGTGGCTTCTCTGAAATTCTGTCTCCACCAAAGGCAAGTATTGGTTTTTGGAATTTTGAGGAGAATGTAATTGTTAAAATAAAAACAATGAAACAAAGGTTTTATATTCTTCAGTAGTATGTGGAAATCAGGATGTCTGTTTCTTATTTCGCCCACTGCTATTCCAGACACAGATTAAGTAGAAGGCTGAAGTGACAGGAGAGGAAAAGACAGTTGTAAACCTAGTTTTATTTCTGCTTCTTCAAGACCTTCAGTACGGAAGTCTGGGATTTCCAAGTTTCCCTAGAACTGTCAGAACTGTCATTATCTGTTGGGGTCAGTGAATTAATTTGATATGGCAAATCCTTTAAGAGTAAGTCTTCTCTTACTCAGTTCTAAGTAATGTTTTATACAGTTCTCTTAGTCTTTTGGCCATCTTGAGCAATGTGCACACATAACTAACTGCAAGCTGCCAAACACTTTTCTCTCTTTCTCTCTCTCTGACACTTGTAGTATTTTGCCTAGACATCCTTCAAGGGATTTCTGTTTGTGAGCTGCTCTCTCTTCTCTCTTCTCTCTTCTCTCTTCTCTCTTCTCTCTTCTCTCTTCTCTCTTCTCTCTTCTC